CTACGCTAATCATTGTTGGTCAAAAATCATTGATGTATGACTTTGATTAACTTGCTGACGTTCACTAATTTTGTTTTGCCAGCTGGTTAACGAATAAAAACTAGGTGACGTACAGTAGGAGGTACTATAGTATGCAATTTAGAATTTGTAATAAGATTGTTCAACAAATTTTAGTTCAAACTTGTTATGTTGTCACTAATGTCCTGAACCTCTATAGAGCTCTCTGCAACCTCTGCACCAACTGCACCACCCTTCGTGGGAAAGTAACAGTGCGATACTGGTCCTACCACAAGGTTGTGGGTTTAGTTATATAAAACAACAAAGCAATGTCATTCCCCAAGCCTTAGAAGCTTAAACGCAGTGTCACGATCATGAATTGCGCCCCTTTTAATATGGTCACAAGTCTGTGTAAACAGGATTGACGTACTTGTAGTATTTCTACAGTATGAGATCAAGAGGACCAGGAGGCAAATTTTATGTGGAGAATTCTAGCACATCAATTATGGATTTAATAATCATTTTTGATTGTTTTATGCAAGGAATGAGGGTGGTTCGGTCTGCAGTACATTATCAAGGGAGTTTCACTCAAAATTGGGGAGGGGAATCAGTCGAATCATAAAACCCCTTGGTTATGGGCTTGGATAAGCTTTGGTGGATGGTTCAGAAACAGACTCGCTTGGGTTTTTCGAAATTCAGAAGTGATGGGTGATGATTCACATATAGTAACACCTCCAAAGGGCCCCTAAAAGAATGTACTGTAATGACAACATAAATACACAGGATGGTGGCAGTTCATATAAACACCCAATATGCAGTTACCTACACTGCAGGCAAGAAAACAGGCTAGGCCAGTGAACTCATAACAAAAACAAAATCAGATTTGCATGTTACACACATTTGGAATTTATTTAAATCAAAGGCTTAGCCAGCGAGCCGTCCGGCCGTCTTTTGAACGGCAAACAATTATTTAGGATGGCCACTTTTACTGTGACGGCTTGGACGGCTTGGCCTAATCAGCTCAGAGTCTAATTGGGCCTGGTCTACCTTTAGCAAATTCTTAATATTCTTTAAGTCTATCGAATGTTACATTAAAATAAAGCTAAATCATATTTACTGTACATTTGATAAAAACAACATTTATTGATTGAATGTACATTGTTTTCATACCAATATTCGGTAGTGATTCCCAAAAATGTAAGGCTAAATCACTGACCCGGTGAAAAGTTCACTTACTATACAACACCGTCGTGTTAAAAACATTTATTCCCCACTGGAAAATGGACGGTTCTTAGTCGCCCACAATGCAGTACTTGGGATTCGGTTCCCTGACATAAAATTGTTGATGTTTGTAACTCTCAGATAAGAAAGTAAAATACATACTCCAAGTATTGAAATACACGCCATCGTGTTGGGATTCAATATTTCGACATTAATTATGTCATCATCAGGAATCATTCCTGATGATGACATAATTAAAAATGTCGAAATATTGAATCCCAACACGATGGCGTGTATTTCAATACTTGGAGTATGTATTTTACTTTCTTATCTGAGATTAATCAGTGGACCTTTCGGTTTTTTTGTAACTCTCAGGTTATTATTAATTCATGAAATACCGTAAAGAAGATTAGTTGTTAACATCACAAGTTAAATTTTATTATCTCTCGATTCAGAGGACCTAGAGTAGAATTTACACTAGACTACGACGAGAGATGAAGATGAAAAATCATGCGAGTAAACAACCGTAGCTGTGCACAGTCTACAGTATGCCAATAAACTGAAATATCTTTGTGATAGCTTATTTAACACTACAGTATTCCTTTAAAGTCAAAATAATGCTGTCTGTCTATGAGCTAAGAAATAAATTCTTTGTTCATTTTGTTTAATATTAATAATCAATTCAAAATTACAATGAAAAAACATCTAAAAATCATCAGATAAATCCTTAAATTGACTAGTAATCAAATCAAATAATTTTTTTGCATATGAAAATTCCATTTTTATCTGTTTATTAATGAAAGTTAAGAACTTTGTTACAGATACTTCTGTACATTAAATGAACATTTATTTTTTTTTTTATTTGATTTCTTTGTAGGTCTATTCCATATTTCAACACATTCTTTTTATTGGTTGAATATTTCCATAGTACTCATTTTAATGACAATGTGCATTTAATTAGCAATTTGGTCCAATAAATTTCTCTGAATTTAAAGCCAGGCTCTGGAGGGAAAAAATTGATAATGTGTACAAACTCAGTTTTCTACAACACAAAAAGGGTCTTTCCTTTAGAAGAAAAACTTGGGAATGGTAAATGAGATGCAAATTTTTTAATTAAAAATTTGGGGAAAAGGTTGAAAAAGGGTGGATGCCCATTTATACCACTCTTTTAAATATTCAAATATCTGTATCTCATTGATTGTTCCGAGTTTTTCGTCAAACACAATTTTTGTGTTTATTAAAAATCAGTACAATATATCAAACAATTTTTTCCTCCAGCACATGGTTTTACCAATTACAATTTTTTTTTTTATAAGAACCAGTAACATTTTGGCCAAGCTCAGTATTCTTATTTTTACACATTCTTCAAACATTTAATTATTATTGTACAGCAGTGTATTCCTATACTGTATTATAGAGGGTATTGCATAGTCATAACTACTTTACTGCAAATCAGGTACAGAGAAGATTTGTTGGTTTTCTATTTTAAACAAAAATAAAAACTCTTTTTTCTCAGCTTCAATTTGTTCTTGTATTTTGTTCTTAATTTTTAAGCAATTTCAGTCTCAGTGTTCTTATTAAATCTGTTCTTATAAAACAAATAGGTATATCTTCATATTCATAATCATAATCTCCATTATAAAATGTCATGAAAACCCTTGTGTTTTTATTACATATTTTCTCTACAGCACCATTGTCATCATTTAGGCTATTTTTTCTCAAAAAAGATTGTTTCACTCTTCAACTTAGGAAAAAAATGTGAGCAGTTATGATACTTGGATGTTATTAAAATGTCTATGAATATAAACCTGTAATTCCATGGATAATATTGATTCTGAATAACCACAACTTCTATGGCTTTAAACCTGTCATGTATCTGATAATTGTTTGATTATCATAAAAAAAGCCAGCTTTTAAATCCTATGGTAAATCTACACTCTGCAGTGTAAACAAAAAAGTATGTACTTTAATAGAGTACTTACAACAGCTACTGCACTACTTATTGCAGACAAAAGACTGTTTTCTCAAAGTATAGTCAATGATTTTCAGTAGCTCACACTACTACTAGTCTAAATCGCATGCAAAATTGGTGGGTGATCTATGATTTGCCAAATAAATTTTTCTTCATTTTAAATATATCATCCCTCAGACCTCCTAATTAAATGTTGAATGTTCGTGAAATACTTATAGACAAATAACGTTTGAAGCATGCTACTACACTACTACTACTACTACTATAACAATATACTGTAAAAGCTTGCCTGACGATAGGCCTACAGTAAATTTCTTTCGAAATTCCTGTCCACTTTATTTATCATTGTAAAGCCACCCTGACACTTGCACGATTTTTGTCACCGCAATGCGTTGTGGCAAGACGTGCCATTTCGGTGGTACGCTGCAGAGAGCATGAATCCGTATTTGCGGCCTGTACACCTATAAGTTACGCACTATGTACGCAATACGTGTCAAAAATGTACCGTATTGACACGCAGTGGCACTACTTGTTTACGCATAGGTTAAGTATTGTTCGCGCATTGCTCACGTCTACCGTACTGCATTGTCCCGCAATGTCACATACAACTTGCATAATCCCGCTGTCTTCCTGCATTGCCCTGACAACTTCGCGCATGCGTAAAGTCGTCGTGGCAATGTTTGGTCAGGCTTTGTCCCGCTTGGCAGCACGCTATACATAGCGTAGGTTTTTCTTTGACTCGCTATGGAGGATTCAACATGCTGAATCCCGGAGACAGTGTTATTGCAGAACAGAGAAGGTGTCTATATCTGGTAACTGCAGACTATTACTTCTTGAAGAGAGCAGGAGAAAAGGCGGAAAGAGGAAGAGCATTCTTAATTGACACACACCGTCGGCAGTGTTCGCGCTGAGTTTGCGCAGTGTTCACGAATGGTTCACGCATATGGCACGAACCTTAATACGTGCCAAATTTTTGAACAATTTAAAATTCTCTCTACGACATGGCATGCATCCCGCACCCTTCACATACTACTCGTTCCAGAAGACTTTAATCATTGGCACGCCGGAGTGGGCACCAGTGCGGGAACGAAAATCGTGCAAGTGTCAGGGTGGCATAAGTATCACTGAACAAAATTCTTGACCTGAGAGCATACTGATGAGGCAGACGCACACACAGCTGCCTAACAACCAGTACAGTATAGCAATGCATCCAGGAGACTTACTCTCAGATGATGAAGAATAATGTGAAAACAACATCAAAACTTACGATTTACCTTTAATAACAAAATTAAATGTATGTCTTATTAACAAGCGGGAGTTGTAAGTCTATGAACTAAAACATCTTTATTGAAACAAATATCGTCTGAGTAACAGTTTTGTCAATCAATGTGACACTGACAAGACGAGAAAAGGCGAGACTTCACCATTCGTCGGTGACTGTGTACGCTGTGTTTGAAACGCTTCTTCAATATTTTAAACGACTTGGACTATAATGCCAAATAAATCTACTAACCGAACGAATAACTAAAGTTATAGTGCAATTACCGCAGGAAGCAATAACACAGTCCAAAACGTAAACATTATTCAAGAATGGACATAAAAATAACAAAAACGACCACGCATGCCAATCAGTGTTATTGAACTTGCCCTCCGTGGAGCTTGTCTATCTTTCTCTCTCTCTCAGCATAAACAACACATGCCATGGGGATGGGCTCCCTTCTCAAACAACAACGCGAGTCCGACATGAATTTTTCCTTGATGTGCGACACAAAAAAAAATAATATAATGCAACAACGTGTAAAGTACTTACATTTCATCTGTAAATTTACTCAAGTATTGTTCTCATCTTAGTACGAATTCAAGAATAAATAAAGCAGAAGGAACAAAACAAAACTCTATTTCTGTTCGTCAAGTGTGTAAGGCACGCTGCGTGATCTTCCGGGGAAAAGCCCTCTGGACTAGACTATGTTCAAGCAGGGGTAACAATAATTTAAAAATAATTGTTAAACATCCAATATCGAAAAATTTCGAAATATAATCATAAATATAAACTTAATGGGTTATCTAACAATTTACATATGTATATTTATACTGTTTTTTTATAAGTCAGAATTTTATATTAGGAATTGACAGAATAAAAATGTCTCCAAGTGACAGAAGGTATGGAATAGCCAAATATTTGTAAATACTTGAAGTTGCGTAATATTACATAATCGACAACTTCAAGTTTCTTTACAGCATTTCACACTATCCAATTTTGTTCAGAAAAGCGTACAATTTGTTTACTATTTCATCTGTGTTACTTTGCAAGAGGTTGACCTCCAAAACTTTCTTATTTTTGACCTCACTTTTTAGGGGTGTAAGCCATGGGTCTGGGATGGTAGCGAATCCGGAACTAAATCCTTATTTAAATGAAAATTATTGGTCATTTTTAGTATTTTAACACACTTAGTATAACTAATTTGCCACCGGGGTGGGGTTGCGCAGCCTACGCCCATCGGATCACTAAGTTGCATAGTCTAGTTGTTTTCTGTTAGGCCCTACTTTTTTTTAAGTTTATAAGGCCTATTTACTTGAAAATTTGAAATTCTGAAGTAAAGAGTTTAGGCCTATGTTTTGAATTGCAATAAACAATCATAGCTTTAAAATTATTTAAACATTCTGAATTAAAAGGTTGAATGGATTGTTAAGCCTGCCTTAGGCCTCAGTTGTTTTCAATTACAATAAACAACCATAACTTCAACATTATTTTGTAGGCCTTCGAGAATAACTAACAGTGATTTATTCTTATCAAATTGTATATTTAGGCCTACAGGAAAACATTCCATAGTAGAAAGGAAAAAAAAACTCAGGGTATCCATCGAACAATCGCTCCCATCTCATCTAATTATTGTTCACTGAAGTGACTACGAAAAACAACGAAGTAAAAAAGATTGAATTGGGGAAAAAATAAAATGGTGTATCAAAATCTACACATTCGGCCTCGCCTAAATACTCTACATATTCTACTATAAAACTTTAGCCCGGGATGTACAAGCTCTTATCCAGTAATAATACGTATGTTTCAGATGTATTTTATCTTACGCCTAATCTCGAAGTTAGGATCATTCGTAATAGTGCGTATTATGAATATTGACTACAGAGGCCTAATAATATGTGCTGTAGTTTTCAAGTCTCACGAATTTAGATAGACCAATTAATAATGACAATATAATTTCTAAAGGAAACAGAATACTTGGGATTTTTGCAGACATTGTAGAGCCATTAAAAGCCCTCTTGTCATTATTAGTTTATATCGTAATTTAGGTATTTCCTATTTTGAATATCTTTAGTTCTGTTTCTGATATTTTTTTTTTTAATAGATATGTTAATTCGTCTGTTAGCTGTTTTTGGTCTTCATGTTAATTCCCGTAATTTGCGTTCTTGTCCTGCTCTTAGTGTCCCTTGGTAGAGTTGATATTTGTAAACGCTTCTTTCTCGGTTCCAATACAATTTAATTCCATTTCTTCTACAAACAATATTGATATGTTTTATAACAGTTTTTCAACATTTCGGAACCGTATTATAATGACGTTTGTGTTCAGATATTTTTTTTAGTTAGTGGCGATGATTCGCTGTTGGATTGGAATAACTAAATTAATTGATTAATTAATTAATTTTACGATTTCTACACCACATCTTAATAGTCCTCGGATAAATCCCTCCTCGAAATATTTTGATAAATAAAATCCGATATTTTATTATACATTGCTTCAGGGAATTTATTCATTTTCTATGGGTCCTGATAAACCTGACTATAATTGTATAGTAGAACCCCAATTAAAGGGACATTTTTGGAACAAAAGTGACACCTTATGTGTGTCCATGAAAATCTATTTAGGTAAGGGACACTTGCCGACACTAGAGTAGGGGGAAATTGATAGTGACGCAATCATAGGCCACAACTTGAAACTATGACACTATTCTTTATAAGAACCACCTCATCCGTACTACTTATATTTCATCCTACAATAATTTTTATTTTTCTTGTATTTTCATATGAATGACGATCGATTGACGCATTCTGATATTTTTCTGTGATGCATTTATTATGAGACATAAGTGTAAGTTGTGAGGTAAAATATATCGAATAAGGCCTACTATTATTACTATGCAAAAATAATTTGTAGTGTAAATATATTCCATTTAAGATTCAAAATCAACAGAACTGTGATTAATGTTCTAATTTGATTTGATTTGATTCAAGAACAACACAAACAACGATTACAGAATACAAAGAAACAAAACTATAAAATAGAGAATGCAAGTCACCTTTGTTGATATCTGGGATAAACCCTCTAAATCCCAACACATGATTTATTTTCAGAGGAATGAATATCAATTAATTATCAAACAAGTCTCAATCAATTAATTATTAAAATAAGATTCTTGTTTTACATTTAGAAATCAGGGTACATAATTTATTTGATTTGAATTTTGGTTGCAATAAACATACATACAAATAAAATAGTTATAAAAGATGCAGGAACAAGAAAAATATTAAAACAGATATTATTTGCTTACAAAACAGGAAAAAAGTTAAAATAAACAACAAATATGAACAGCGGAACCAAGGATAGCCCACAAAAGATGTAAAAAAATCTTATTTCAAGAGGGGTCCTTATAAACATAGAATGCAAATAATTAAAACTTTAATTCTTTAAAGCTTTAAAAGAATAAAAATGTAATTAATAAAATGTAACAATATAATATAATATATTGAATATTATGGATCGAAATGTCATGAAAGAACTTTTCACAGGGACAAGAAAACCGACGGTGGAGGATGTTTTCATATGACCACGACTCACAAAATATTGTAAAGAGATAGGCCTACATTCTGACTTTCGGGGTAACTGCACGATTTATATCATTTAAAGTGTGTATGATTTTATTGATTTTATTTATCAAATTTCATCCCACAAGGATAAAAACAAGATATGCAAGTTATTTTATCAAATCAAAATGTCTGATCAGACCGTGCTTCATATTAACTGATGTTTAATTAATTAACTCTGTCCATAGGCATACCCTTATCTCTGTCTGTCTGTTATCAAGATTACGCAAAAAACTAAGAAAAAATTAGTTGAATTGCACATAATTAGAGAGATGACAGTGGCGTCGCCAGGGGGGGGGTGCGGAGGGTGCGAACGCACCCCCTCCAGACCCAAAAAAAAAAAAATAAATAAATTTAAAAAAAAATAAAAAGAAGAAAAAAAGAAAAAAAATGGTAGGGGAAAGGGGGGTGGGGAACCATTCTTTGAGAAGAGTTCTTCCATTAGGCAGTACGAGTAGACCGGTAGGCAGTACATTAGTTTTGAACAGCTCATATCTGCAACACCAGCACCGCTGCCTGACATTGGAGTTGTTAAGTTTTTTTTTCCAAAAAGCACCCCCCACCCCTTGAAAAAAGCTGGTGACGAC